ATTCAGACTGTGCTAATTTAAAATCGAGATCGGGCATTCGTAATTTGGATTTGTGCTACTGATGGTGCGTAAGATGGAGCAAATTTTGTCAATTTGGAAATTATACTGTGTTGGAATTAACACCGGGAGTACTAAAGTGGTGACAACGACTTGATCCTCTTTTTGAAAGTACGTGTCTCTTTTTGTCAAAGTTGATATTAATTAATATCAATATTAATTGAATAGTAGACAAGAAAGAGTAGAGATAACAATTTTCCACCACAAATTTAGATTTAGTTCAACATTCGAACCTAAAATAAATTTCTCACAGTCACGCTTAATCCGTGTAACGAAATATAACATAAACGGTGAGACGCAAGAAGGGCAGAATGGCCGCGAATTTATAAACTCGAATAAGCGAATCTCTTTCCAATAACGTCCACTGAAATTTCAATTTCCGGCAATGTCACGAGCAAATATTTTGTCAACGCGTTGGGAACAAATCCGATAGTGTCCAACTACTCTGTTCGGGAAGCGTACTCTCCCGCGGGTCAGGATTAATTAATTAATCACCGGGAAGAAAAAGGAACGTGCTCGGCGCAGGTATTCGAGGCTTAATTGCTGTCAATTAAACCGCGCGCGGCCGAAACGAAATTCACTTTTTCCAGCGGAAAAGTGGAAGAGCCGCGCGTAATTCCGCGAGATGAACGAAAGCATCGCAGTCGGGTAACCGCGGTGAATTAATCGTTAAAGCAGAGCTGTCGACCCGCGCTTTTTTCCACTTTTCGAGCAGAAAAATCAGCGGAGAGGAAGCTTTCTATCGATAATTACGGAATGAGATCATCGATTCCTTCGATCAAAGTTTCAGGGACAGGATTCGGTCGGCCGGAACACGCTCGCGGCGTCGTAGAAAGTCGGAAGATTGAATAACCCGTGAAAAGGAAAGTGCCTGCATCGATATAGGTGCACATGGTCGTTCCCTTTTCGAAGTGGTTTACATAAGACCCGAGGAACTTTCACGTTGTACTTCAACCTCTCTGTTCGCTGACGAACCGATGCGAGCCTTTAATGGCCGGAAATAGTAGCGTCTTGCAGGTAAATACGAAATTTTCCTGGGTCCCGTCGCGTTCTGTTTCCCTGCTTCAACTCCACTGCTATTTCTTCGCAAATATTACGCGTAGCGTTTCAAACGAAACAAAATATCCCTGATCCGGAAACGCCAATTTTATCGAAGGCTGAGAGACTTTTGACAAATATTTTTTACCGTTGCTCCAGCGAAATAACAGTTCCGCGTACTTGGTCATGACTTCTGGTCCGTGAAATTCGGACGAAAAGGAAATTTAATTCAATTTACACGCGCGCGGTGTAAATCTTTCGCGATTGCAAGCAGAACACGTATATATTTTCCACGAGTAAAATCTTCATCCGCGATGCTCGTTACCGCGGAATAATAATCCTGCTCTGTGGGCGTGGAATTCACGGTTCATAAAATTCGAATCGAAAACGCATATTTCCTTTGATTCGCAATAAATAGGAAATACGGCAATTTTTTCCTCGATTAAGAATTTCATTGCGAAATAAAAATTCCTATTCCCAGCTCGCGAAGCCTGTCGAAAGGAATCCAAAGAGAAGGGGAGCAAACGGTTCGCAAAATTGAAATGAAAAAAGGAAATTCCGTAGAATTTAAAGGGAACGGGTAATATAGCCGATTCCCCAACAATTAAATACCCCCACGACCCAATTTTCAACTCGCAAAACTCCACCAGAAAATCTCCATTCCTATCCAATATCTCCCCCAACACCGAGACACGCGAAAACGAAGAAAACGGAGAAAACGGAGAAAAATGGAGGGGAAAAGCGAGAGGATAACGAGGAAACCGGTGAAATGGTGGTTAACGATTTGCAGGAGGGTGGAAAGGGACGAAGCCGGGCGCGCATTGTCGGAGTCAATATTTGGCCGGTTTAACGTAACTTTGCTTTTAATCAGCGGGCAAAATGGCCGCGGATGGCAGCGGCGCTCGCATTATCCAAATAACGCGGCGTGCGTGGCCGCGTTTCGCCTTTCGATCGTAAACGAAAATTGCGAGATACGCGGGCGTCATCCAATTTCGGCTGGCAGCCGGCGTCGCGACGCTCGGGAGAGCTGCGCGTTGCGTTCGTCCGTCGTCGAACGCGCGTTCATCGACGGGAAAATTGCGAAACGCGGCCCGCTTAGCCCGCCATCCAATTTTCGATGACGCGCGGATCCGCCGCGGCTCGCGCGATATCGAGCCTGACCGTTCGACTGCATCTGTTTAGCGAGATATCGAACTGACGTTTGTTTGGCCTCTGCCTGGCCCTCGCGCGCCCGGCATCCCGGCTCGATCGCGCGCTGATCGATATTCCAGCGATCGAGGAGAGCATCCGGCGTGTACGCCGGTCCATCGGTGTAATCTGGAGATTGGAAGGTAATCCGACGAGCTGACGTTTAATTCTCCGGCCAGATGGGCGGGGTTACAGCCCGTGCATTGTTGTTTATGAACGTCGTGCTTGATTTACGTATAAAGTGCGCCAGATTTAATAAGGTTTTGTCTGCCGCGAGTTTAGGATATCGGGCAAGTTTCCCGGTGCGATAGATTGCTGTTATAACTTCCGTAGGATTCACAGATATTCCCCTTCCCCGCGAAAATTCGCGTAGATTTTCGTACCTTTATTCGTGGAAATATTCGGCTCGAGGATATTTCTCAGGTATGGACACGGTTAATCCTTTGCACCCGAAGATCGATATTAACACTATGCCGTCCTCACGTCTAATCAGGATTCTTTGGTTTGATGCCAGTAGGACTGACTCATCATTTGCGAATGGTACCAACGTGGTGTCACCGGCATTTGCCCAATAGTTTTCGTCGCCACCGGACAGCATAGTGTTAATTAATGTGTCAAATTTAAGACAATGTAACGGTGTGCGAGCTATCGAAATCAAACAATTCTACGTGTTAATTATTACACGATTTCTTTTTTATTACTGAAAGAAATATCGCCAGCTTTATAGCAGAAAATCTTCGAACTCCTACTCATCTTTAGCCAAAAGATCGTCGAGTGCAAAGGGTTAATTCATTGTTACTAGTTTCGAGGCTGTTTTTAACACGTTGACTGCCACGTTCTTCTCTGCTTAGAATTCTTAGGATACGATGAATTATTAAACAATGTGTCGAAAAACAGGAGAAATAGCGCTCTTTCTGTTCCGCTATGCTCTCTATTAATTTACGTCGTTAGACTGTTCAAAAAGCATGCAAATTGGTGACCAGCGTGGCAGTCAACCTGTTAAATAAATAAAAATCGGGGCTATGTGTTTCGTGTTACAAAAAAACCGTGTTAAGCGAAATTTAGAATAAATATTCGTGGAATACCGTGATATGTGAAAAGCAACTTAAACAAAACTCGGAAATAACACAAGCTCGAGGAATTTATTCCCAATAGTTTTAACGATCTTAACGAATATGGTAAATATTTTCACAATCTTCGTGTCGAAATAGGATCCATCGTTTGTTTATAAATTCTTGTAAAAATCGACGAATATGAAGAATTTTTGCGATGATTTCGCGATGGTGACGCAACCTCTCTGTCATGGCGGCTGACCTTTCGCGAGTCTCTCGAGCCGGCGAATTCTAGCGGTTCGGTCGCGTTACCGGCAGCCAACGATCGAAAGTGGAAAGTGAAAGTGGCGAACTGGAACCTGGTCGTATGATGAAAGTGGACGAGGCTCGGGCGCCCTGCGAGTCGTCGTAAAAATTCCACCGCGAAACTGCCCGATTATCCCGGACGTTTCGAACGTCAATCACGGACGTCGAATGGTCCGTAAATGTCCGTACGGTGTAATTGCCTTTTCTTCGTCATGGTCTATTTCGCCTCTTTCACCCGGCTAAAAGCGTAACATCTCGATCGACTTATCAGACGCGGCGGGGATCGAAAAGAGATTTCAACGGGGAGCTTGGATCGTTGGCAGACCACCGGGCGGATTGGCTCTCGCGAGCAATGAAATTATCCTGGCTTTCTCAAAGTTTAAACCATGTTTTTTTTTCTTCGTGCAACGAGGTGTCTAATGAGATTACGTTGCGAATACGATGAAGATCGAGGTGATTTAAGCGACGTTTAATTCCTTCCGGTTCGTTGGACAATGATTTCGAGTCGAGTGTTCACTTTCAATGAAGATTATACATGTAGAAATTTTTATTTTTCTTCCATTTATATATTTATTGATAAAAGGTTAACACGTTGACTGGCATACAACTTTTCACGATTCTGGTCTAAGAAGCCAATTTGATTTAATCATGTTATATTATTAAAAATTTGATTTATAGTACACAGTAATAATCAAAAGCTTAAAAAATGTTACGAATTATCTCGTAGTTGGCGCGCAGGTTTGTTTCAAAAATTATCACAAACCATTAAAATGTTATTCTGCGTGAATAAACTGGTGTAAACTTTTTCTTTTTGAGTGAACTTTGTATAATTGTATTTTCTGTTCATTTGAGCCAAGTCTCAATAATGAAGGGACGAGATAACTCGTATTTGGCAGTCAGCGTGTTAAGAAACGAACTGACGATTAGTTCATGTTTTATCTCCCAAGATCCTTAGGCTAAAATTAAAAATTTATAGATGCTATCCCTTTCCTCTATTTTTAATTTCGAGATATAAAATTCCGTAATGTCTTCCGTTGGTGAAGGTAGATGCGAATTTATTAGACTAGAACATCGAATAGAAATTTGGAAAATAATTACGGATTAGAAAGTATCAACCCTTAATTGGAATTTAATAATTTAATAACAAATTCGACGAAAGTGGTGCGCGATAGCGTTTGAACGAAAGCAATTATCCGACTCATCGCCAAGATGCTCGATCATCGTTTTACGAAGCTAAAAATGCCTGACAGTTAACTAACGCTCTTTCGAAACGAGCCATTAACTGCTTCTATCGCCTTGAACTTATCAGCTCGAGAGACAAGCAGATAAATGCAAACTCATCGTTTACCTGATTAAGTTTTACCGTTCCATCTCGCTCAGCTGATCCTGATGGACGGACGAGGTCAGTTCGCATATCAGCTTGGGCAAGCAAGCCGTCTTGATCGTCGTCATCATCTTCGCGCGTCTCGAGACTGCTGCAAAGTAATCCATAAAGCGGTGAGATCGTTAAGTTCGTCGGAGCATCCCGCTGATACGGGAAGCAACGAATGTCTAATTAGCGGTACCCTAGATCCCAGCTTCGATCCATCGCCGGTTAAAAATCGGGGCTACGAAAATGCTACGAAACAGCTACGATCTCTTTCGTTACCCGACAAAATTCGAACCGTTCTTCAAGATCGACAATCAAAGCTGATCATCCGTTTACTTCGTGCGAATTTTCCACTGTATTAAATTACCCGGCCTAGCAAGATCGATGATCTTTCTCTCGGTTAATTAAAGGAACTGTCAGCGTGACGATTCTAGAACTAGATTTCACCTTCGTTCGACGGAGAAACTCGCTAATGATCGCGAAGGAAGCCTCGCGAGCACCAATCGAGCGCGAGATCGTCAAAGTAAATTTTCCACCACCCGACTGTTCCAACTGTAATCGAACTTCTTAACTACTGATTAGCTCCAACTCCGACCCGTTAAGACGAGGCAATCCTAATGAATCGCATACAGGTGTACAGTGAAATGTTCCGTCCATCCGATTCCCTTCGCGATTGCGTAACACGCGTGATAAGACTATGCTAAGTGGACAGTGTTCACTGTCACCGCTGCAGAAACACGTTGAACGCGTTTCGGATCACGGTATGAATAATTAAGAAACCAGTTTACGATCCATTCGAACGGTTCGACCGGTAAACCGATAGAGAATGGACGTTACGTGCAAATTGGCCGATAGTCGATCGAGCTTGGACCAGAACGCTGTCATAAATTTCAAAAACAATATCGGGAAGCTCGCGTACTAGGAAAACGCGTCAGAAAGAATTCCCCACTCGATTTACTTATCCTCATACGAGGAATAAAAACTCGCGACGCGATCCCCGATGTTCCAAAAATGAATGAAATCATCGACTATTCCAGGTTACGCGAAGCCACACGCGTCGTTACGCACTTGTACGTCACCTTCGTATTCCGCGAACCGCGATTACGTTACGAGCATCCGTTTCCTCGTCGACGACGGACGTCTCCGGTCGTTCATGCGATCGCGAGTATTATTCCTTACCGTTGTCCTTCTCGTCGTCCTTCTTCATCGTCGCCAAGGTTATCCTGTCGCCGGGTAGCTGGCTGCCAGCTTCCTCGGGACCTTTAACCGGTTCCGTGATGTTCCTGTCGGCGGATCGGCCAAAAATCGCGGTGATCAGGTAGCTGTAGTCGCCGGCGAACATGAGGAACATCCCGAGGAATATCACGAGACGCACGGTGCCGGTGTCCATGATCATGCGTGATCGCGTGCTTGGCGTGGTATCGCCGCGTGATCGGAAGAACACGCCGGGACTGGATCTGCCGTTTGAACTTTAGTCCTCGGCCTGCTACACCTACTGCGTGCGATAGGCTGCGATTAAACGGAAGCGCTGCGTCACCATTACACCGCTTCACGGGCAATCCCCATCGAATTCGAGCGTTTTTACGCGGCAAACCGAAGGTTTCCGTTGGGACCGGATGCAATTTTTAGTTCGACGAGGATGCCTCGAATTTGGAATCTTTGAGTAACTTTTAGTCGAAGTATCACGATTCTTTGTCGAGAAGAATCGGATGTAACGAACTCGGATGGAATTTTGAGAACTTTGAGATCGCGAGAGAGAATATGGGGATCTGAGCGAAAATATCTTGGATTCGGAATTTTTGGACAATCCTTGCTTCGAATATGAGAAGTATTTTCCTGCCGGAGGATCGAAAGTTCTTCGCTCGGATGTAACGATCTCGATATAGATCGAATTTCGAAATCTCGAGAAAAAATATTCGGATGGGTGAATGTGTATTTAATTTAGAATCTTTGACTAACTTTTAATCGAATCTTGGCTCGGGTGTAACGATATTGGTATAGATCGAATGTTAAAATCGCGAGGAATAGTATCAGGATGGAGTTGGACGAAGGTGTCCTGAATTTGGAATCTTTGAAGTATAATGATTCTATCTCGAGGAGAATCAGACGTAATGAACGTGGAATGAACGGAATTTTGAAATCCTAGGAGGAAATATGGAAACCTGGATAAAGTTACCACGTATTCGGGATTTCCCAGCAATCGTTGCTTCCAATATGGCGATTTTCTCGAGTGCCTCTCTTTTGCCTCAGGTATAACGATTCTGGTGGAATTTTAATTCCAACATGGCGGATCGAGTAGATCGAGCTAGAAGTTTCGAAAAACTCTCCATTTATCTCAATTATCGGAATATCAATTTATGCTCGAGACAGGTAGAAATTCACTCGAGATCTACCGAAAGAGAGTCCATTTGAATACCTGTCTTGGAAAAATCCTTAATTGCCGCGTCGAGTATATTCTTTCGTAATTTGTTAATTAGACGGGAAGTTATTAACACCTCGCGGTACATTTGAATATTGAAAGCAACGATTGCACGGAGGTCTCAGTTTCGATACCACTTGTAACTCAAGAGATATTAGATTGCGCGCTACGTCTATCGGGCCAGGTTTCGCTGGTGTTTTAACACAACGCGTCAAATGGGAGTCATATACGGACGGTTTCGCAAGGATTCGAAAGGAGAACGATTGACTTACGCAATGGCCGCGCTGCAACGCCTTAACCCGATTTTCGAGGGCACGTATGGTAACGCACACTAAAATTATCGTATCACGCGAGTTCGATTAGCGCGAAGTCGACATCCTCTGCTATTTCTGTACTTCGTCCAACGAGGAAAGTCAAAAGATTCGTGTCAACGTGGAATTTTAAACTCGTAACTCTAAATAAAGTAAGCCACTACCTGCCGGGGCCCTAAAGAACCGCAGCGAGTTCGTCCCTGAGCTGCAACCTTTTAACTGCACTCGCTGCACCGATCTCGCGAACTTTTCGTTTATTTCTTCTTCCTTCTAATCGTACTTATACGTAGGAACATGACACCGAGTAATAAAATGGAAAAAATTATCGATTAACTTGGAATATCCGATTAGGTCGTTAACTATATCATTTGTTACCAATTTATGGCCACTAAATCGTGTTTAATTAAGGAACCGATTCCGAATCGAGGTCATACAGTATCGATTGACTCACGAGTGTCCTGTTTCCAGTTAAATGTAGCACACCACCGATTCGGGAGTCCAGACACCTGAATTTTCATCGACAAATTTTACTCGCTCAGCACCGCTCGCGTGTACCATAAATAAGGATACTCACTCGTGAGAAGCATCGATGTCTCGGCCAGTCCAGGGATCGTCGACTTTCAGCGTGGAGGATGTTACAGCAGAACTTTCGCTCTCTGTTCACTTCCACTTTCTTCGATACGTCCCGAGTGCCAGTGATCCCCAACGACGAGTCACTGCGTGGCAAAATCGAGACTGTAGAACCACGCGTGAAAATTCTCCAGGTACAACCAGCTGATTCTCTTCGACCTCTTTGTTTCCTATTTCTGGAAAAAATGAATTATTGCAAACTATCCGTAGCCTGGCCAAGCCCCACTTCGACGACGTCCCGTTACGGGTGAAATCACTGGCACCAACACTGCCGGGAACCGTAACGAGGCTTTCTAATTCTCGGTTGATACGTCCGGAACACCCGGAAGGTCGAAAAAGCTGCAGGATTTCGTGCGAATCGGTCGGATCGGGTGCAGCGGATCGAGAGATCGTTTGACGACCAAACGCGTCTCGACGGAGGAATTCAGCGACGCTACCGCGGTCTACCAACGTCGCGGAATGACTGTGAATGATTCGAAACCACGGCGGCGGACCTAACGAGTTGTCAGTGAAAGTTGGACACTCGGCCGCAACTCGCCGCGATCGGATCGGCCGATCTCGTGCCTTGCCTCGCTTGTTCACCGGTTCTTCTGGTGAGAACCGGTGCAAGCACTCAGCGAGTATCCCTCGGGAGCTCGGCACCGTGTTCTTTGTTCGAACCCGAGTTCTCCGCTTTGGCCGAGGAGGCAGGTACACGCTCGGTTCGATACTGGGGCTACTGGCACGAAATTATACGGCACTGCGAAGCGATTGACTTCGCTGTTTCGATTTTCCTTCGTTTTAGCGTAATTTTATTCTTGAAAGGGAACCCACTGTCTGGCGCTGGAGTATGATTAGGAAAATTGGATCCGTACAATTAGATAACTAGCTTATATTATTATCCTTATGTATAAGTAAAAATGAAAATTAATTTTGTCAAAAGTAGCTAAGCAGAAAAATTTTTGTTTAGGTTCTTGTTTTAATTTCAAATGGTTTCTCTTACGTCTGTATATATGTATATATGTAGAGTGTGGCACGTAAATTTCTGAAGTCAAGGTCATTTGAAGGTCATGGTATAGCAGAGTATTAAATTCGTATTTTCAACACCAATAATCATACGAGGATAAAAATACAGGTTGTCATTGAAAAAATTCAAGCTGGTCTTGAATTTTTATTAAAAAAAATTAGATATTGGAATTTTGTATATTCCAATATGCATCCATCGAAATACCGATTAACTATCGTTGAAAATATTTCTTTGTCAGACTGTTGAAGAAAATAGGCGCCAGTTACGTGCCACACCCTGTATACAGATTTATTTGCAACCTGTCGTATTAGCGACAATAAGAAATTGAAAAATAAGTATTCATTGCACGTTTTAGTTTCTAGAAACTGTAATATTACCAATCAAGGGTATCGACCTTGAAAATTTTCCAAAATAAATTTCAACGTTAAGACTCAGGTGCCTGACAATTACTGTTTGCGCGGTTACTAAAAGTAGTACATGTTTCGTTAAGCGTAACGTACTTTATAATTCGAGACACATGCACGACACCGAAACCTATTTGCCTCCCCATTGTTTCGTACAGAAATTAATTTACATGCAGGTACGCGAACAAGCGAAATCCATTTCGGTAAATATTTCCGAGATTTCTTTTTTCCTCGTAACGAACGTAATTCCCATCCTCTTTCACCTGTCATTCCTAACGAATCTTCCACGAATCATTTTTCTGCACAGTTACCATTTCGTCCTTCCTCCTGCTGCTGCTGCAAATAAACCTATTTCCCGTTTTTTGCCACTCTGTATCTGCTCGCCTGCACGGGACGAAGGGAATTTTTCCTAACCAACCAGTTTCCTCAAGGACAGTGATACGAGTGGGTTCAGATCAGACCAGAGTCGCGCACAGTCTTCGAAACCCATATACACACGTCCGAGTCGCTTTCATAAATTCTTTTAAGTCCGGTTAATCGGCCGCAATTACTTGCTTGCCTTGAGAGTCTCCTTCGTCTACCCGATGTGCATCGAAACGCAATTCTGATTCCAATTCTGTTCTCTCATAATGTCTCTGCGTTCGCGTTACACCTTGACATGACTATGAGAGTCTAAGTTGGGTTCTTTACGCGAGATTATCATGAGAAAAATAGCAGAGATATTCGGAATTCTTCGGATATCGTTTTCCCTAGAAATTCTGCTTTTAATTCCGATTTTTCGAAGTGCCATCGTGTTCATATCACAGACCGACGAAGACACGGGGTTGCGAGTAATAGGGTTGTTTAATGATAGTAATAATTTTACGAAACAGAGCAGAATAATTCGTAATATTTAGTCGTGTTACGTGGATATCGTTTTCCCTAGAAATTCTGCTTTTAACTCCGATTTTTCGAAGTGCCATCGAGTTCAGATTGCACCCTAGCGAAGACACGAGGTTGTGAGTAACAGAATTGTTTAATAATAGTAATAATTTTGCGGAAGAGAACAGAATAATTCGTAATCTTTAGTCGTGTTACGTGGACATCGCTTTCCCTCGAAATTCTGCTTTTAATTCCGATTTTTCGAAGTGCCATCGTGTTCAGATTGCACCCTAGCGAAGACACGAGGTTGTGAGTAACAGAATTGTTTAATAATAGTAATAATTTTGCGGAAGAGAACAGAATAATTCGTAATCTTTAATCGTGTTACGTGGACACCATTTTTACTCGCAATTCGGTTTTTAATTCCGATTTTTCGAAGTGCCATCGTGTTCAGATTGCACCCTAGCGAAGACACGAGGTTGCGAGTAATAGGGTTGTTTAATTATAGTAATAATTTTACGAAACAGAGCAGAATAATTCGTAATCTTTAGTCGTGTTACGTGGACATCGTTTTCCCTCGAAATTCTGCTTTTAATTCCGATTTTTCGAAGTGCCATCGTGTTCAGATTGCACCCTAGCGAAGACGCGGGGTTGCGAGTAACAGGATTGTTTAATGATAGTAATAATTTTACGAAACAGAGCGAAATAATTCGTAATCTTTAGTCGTGTTACGTGGACATCGTTTTCCTTCGAAATTCTGCTTTTAATTCCGATTTTTCGAAGTGCCATCGTGTTCATATCGCACCCCAACGAAGACGCGGGGTTGCGAGTAACAGGGTTGTTTAATGATAGTAATAATTTTGCGAAGAAGGGCAGAATAATTCGTAATCTTTAGTCGTGTTACGTGGATATCATTCTTGCTCGCAATTCTGATTTTAATTCCGATTTTTCAATATGCCATCGTGTTCAGCCTGCACCCCAACGAATACGCGAGGTTGCGAGTAATAGGGTTGTTTAATGATAGTAATAATTTTGCGAAGAAGGGCAGAATAATTCGTAATCTTTAATCGCGTTACGTGATCATTGTTTACGTTCGAAATTTTGATTTTAATTCTGGTTTTTCGAAGTGTCATCGCGTTTCCGTTGTAGCTTTATGAGGTCATGCGAACTCCAGTTATGTTTAGTAATCGCGATAGTCACGTGATGAAGAACGGATTCTCCTGTCACTTGCAATCACGTAATATGGACGTTGCCTTCGTTCGATAATAGTCTTTGACGTGACCGACAAGATTACTTATGCAAATGACGATTACGAGACTCGTAATACGTGAAGTAAATATTTGATATGACGAATGAGTGATGGAGTAGCTCGAAAAAATTATTCGTAATTCGTAATCTCTGCTGAAAAAGGCTATGTCAAGGACGTTCAATGCACCCTGTATTACGTGGATGAAGGAATTGCAAAACGGAGATTACGATTGACGAGTTACCATAATTCCTATCAGCTGTAGGAAAATTAGAAATTATTCGTTCAACTTCATTCGAAATTTTTAGTAACTATGTCAATAGAGATGTCAATTTAATTTACATGTAAAACAGAAGAATTACATTTTTGTAAGGGAAAGGAAAAATGTGCGGCGATATCGGAGGAGAAAGTTTTTCGTTGCAAAGACTTTTCCCGGTGATCGAGGAGGAATGTTTTATCTGCAAATTCCCATGGGACACATTTTCTTGGAGAAGACGCAAAGTTCTCGAGATATCTCGCGGCGCATAGTCAACGTGAATTCCAGCCACGTGGTGACTGAATACCAATCACTTTAATGCACTCTATCCAAGGAAATTTATGGCACTCGGGAATTTATCGCCGATCCGACTAATAGATGGATAAAAACTGTATAATTAATTATGTTACGAGACACTCTTCATTTCACTTCCTGCTCGTCTATTCTGCATTTTAATGCGAATTCATTTTAATGTAAAATAGCGAATTAATTATCTCGCTGTTATTATTTTCTCCATATCATTATTTTGTAATTTATCTTCGTGCATGATTGAAAAAACAAACCATTTGCTCATGCTGTATAATTCTTCGATTCAACACGGTAATCGTTAAAAACGAATGATTAATTTATTTACACAGAAACTTGCATTTCAATCATGTACATGGAGTACAAACTTTTTATTAAAATTATTAATTTTATTTACACATTGTACACGTTATTTTGTGCTAGCTTATACGATATCTTAAAATTCCACTGGATAAATGCAGATAAAAATAATCGAAATCTGAAAACGGATACAGGAGCTGTAAACTAGCCATATTTACCATAAATTAATTTTAATGTAGTATTATTGCAAATGTATTCTGTAACATGCAAATATATTGCCTACAGTGAATGCTTGATATAGCTTTCCATAGATTTCTCTTTGGAAAAGATGGATACCAATTTTCAGATTTCACGTGAGACGACTATGAATAAAGACCATAACTGTTAAGACAGTACATAAATTTTCCTATTGACGCACGTCTAACTTGGAACGAAAGCAGCGAGGCAAAGTTATGGGCACGTTATTAGCGTCTTACAAAATGGAACTCGATTCGGTGCACTGCCATTTTATGGCACAGCTTGAATAGGTGAACAGCGACTTTCGATTTCTCGACACAATACCATCCCAGACAAGTTTACGACGCGTTCGATAGGGATTTAGAGGAGAAAATGAACTCTAGCTGCGATTATGCAACCTTAATGTAAGCAAACCTGCGCGATCAGTACCGATCTCGTAGAAATAATTTTTCTATCATAAATCGATTATGAATTATTAATTTTTAATCGACAATTAATGGGAGAAAAGGTCATAACAATATACCCTTTTTTAATAATTAAAATAATATTTATGTATTTATTTAAATATTTTTATTATACCCTTAAAAAGAAAATAGGTGGGTGATATTTAAATGTGCAATTGATCAATGGCTATCGAGCTATTGTAGAATGATCATAATACTTGTCAAGGTTCTAATTCCTGGGATATTAAAGGTAGAAAAATGTGGAAAAGTGAATAGAGAATAAAAGGGAAATCGAAAACCAAAATTTCCTGCATGTTTATAATTTATCACAAAAAGACGATACAAATACGGATAAAAGGGTTCGAAGTCAAGTCTTCCCTTTCGTAAAAATGGAGATGAGACCCAACAGCGACCTCGTAAACGGCGTGACAGTCCTCAGTGATTTACCATGCAGCTTCTTGACATCGAAACGTATCGAAATGGAGTTATCGAAGAACTTTTCACACGGTCTGTCTTCTATGTCACCCCGTCCCCGTCCACGATCTCCAGCACTCAATTTATTCGAGTCTGAAACCGTGACGGAAGATTAACGCGATACCATGTTGGGCAGTAACAAAGTAAGTAAATTGCTCTAATTATAAATCGTTTAAACTGCAACAAGAGTTTACGATTTACACTGTAACACAGTCGAGAAAGTCACGACAATCGCAATTATGTATCTAAGTAATATTTCAACTGCTTGCAGTCGCTGAGACAGTTAGAAGAGAAAGCTCATTAAACATAAAGTACTCTCTCCATTTTTTATCGGAATCGTAAACTCGGGAGAAGCAGCTGTCATTAAACGAATTAATATTCGCCACGCAACTGGACCAAAGCAAACCACCGATTGCAGTGCGCAAAAACTAACACAAACGGGAATTTTATTACTCGATGGAGGCCTTGTCTAGCGAGAAACACACGCGAGGCGAGAAATATCGCGAGTGAAAGACACGTGAAACGAAGAAACATGCGAGCATTTTTCGACTGTGGATTTCGAGGAAGCCTCGACCGAGTTGTAGTTACTTGAATCCGATTTTTGGAGGTGTGCCTGCAGCTGCAGCCGCGGGAGGTGGTCGACGTTGGCCAGGAGGTCGACTGACGAAGATTCCATATTTCCTAGGTGGAGGTTCCGGTGGCTGTGGCGGTGGGAAAGACGGCTCGAGAATCTTTAACACGATAGGAGAAGACTATCAATTTCTATCTTGCTACAAAGATAATTGGTACTGCTGCTCGTCTTTGAGAAGAAGGCTAGCGTTCTTTGGTTGCGAGTAACAGGATTGTTTAATGATAGTAATAATTTTACGAAACAGAGCGAAATAATTCGTAATCTTTAGTCGTGTTACGTGGACATCGTTTTCCTTCGAAATTCTGCTTTTAATTCCGATTTTTCGAAGTGCCATCGTGTTCATATCGCACCCCAACGAAGACGCGGGGTTGCGAGTAACAGGGTTGTTTAATGATAGTAATAATTTTGCGAAGAAGGGCAGAATAATTCGTAATCTTTAGTCGTGTTACGTGGATATCATTCTTGCTCGCAATTCTGATTTTAATTCCGATTTTTCAATATGCCATCGTGTTCAGCCTGCACCCCAACGAATACGCGAGGTTGCGAGTAATAGGGTTGTTTAATGATAGTAATAATTTTGCGAAGAAGGGCAGAATAATTCGTAATCTTTAATCGCGTTACGTGATCATTGTTTACGTTCGAAATTTTGATTTTAATTCTGGTTTTTCGAAGTGTCATCGCGTTTCCGTTGTAGCTTTATGAGGTCATGCGAACTCCAGTTATGTTTAGTAATCGCGATAGTCACGTGATGAAGAACGGATTCTCCTGTCACTTGCAATCACGTAATATGGACGTTGCCTTCGTTCGATAATAGTCTTTGACGTGACCGACAAGATTACTTATGCAAATGACGATTACGAGACTCGTAATACGTGAAGTAAATATTTGATATGACGAATGAGTGATGGAGTAGCTCGAAAAAATTATTCGTAATTCGTAATCTCTGCTGAAAAAGGCTATGTCAAGGACGTTCAATGCACCCTGTATTACGTGGATGAAGGAATTGCAAAACGGAGATTACGATTGACGAGTTACCATAATTCCTATCAGCTGTAGGAAAATTAGAAATTATTCGTTCAACTTCATTCGAAATTTTTAGTAACTATGTCAATAGAGATGTCAATTTAATTTACATGTAAAACAGAAGAATTACATTTTTGTAAGGGAAAGGAAAAATGTGCGGCGATATCGGAGGAGAAAGTTTTTCGTTGCAAAGACTTTTCCCGGTGATCGAGGAGGAATGTTTTATCTGCAAATTCCCATGGGACACATTTTCTTGGAGAAGACGCAAAGTTCTCGAGATATCTCGCGGCGCATAGTCAACGTGAATTCCAGCCACGTGGTGACTGAATACCAATCACTTTAATGCACTCTATCCAAGGAAATTTATGGCACTCGGGAATTTATCGCCGATCCGACTAATAGATGGATAAAAACTGTATAATTAATTATGTTACGAGACACTCTTCATTTCACTTCCTGCTCGTCTATTCTGCATTTTAATGCGAATTCATTTTAATGTAAAATAGCGAATTAATTATCTCGCTGTTATTATTTTCTCCATATCATTATTTTGTAATTTATCTTCGTGCATGATTGAAAAAACAAACCATTTGCTCATGCTGTATAATTCTTCGATTCAACACGGTAATCGTTAAAAACGAATGATTAATTTATTTACACAGAAACTTGCATTTCAATCATGTACATGGAGTACAAACTTTTTATTAAAATTATTAATTTTATTTACACATTGTACACGTTATTTTGTGCTAGCTTATACGATATCTTAAAATTCCACTGGATAAATGCAGATAAAAATAATCGAAATCTGAAAACGGATACAGGAGCTGTAAACTAGCCATATTTACCATAAATTAATTTTAATGTAGTATTATTGCAAATGTATTCTGTAACATGCAAATATATTGCCTACAGTGAATGCTTGATATAGCTTTCCATAGATTTCTCTTTGGAAAAGATGGATACCAATTTTCAGATTTCACGTGAGACGACTATGAATAAAGACCATAACTGTTAAGACAGTACATAAATTTTCCTATTGACGCACGTCTAACTTGGAACGAAAGCAGCGAGGCAAAGTTATGGGCACGTTATTAGCGTCTTACAAAATGGAACTCGATTCGGTGCACTGCCATTTTATGGCACAGCTTGAATAGGTGAACAGCGACTTTCGATTTCTCGACACAATACCATCCCAGACAAGTTTACGACGCGTTCGATAGGGATTTAGAGGAGAAAATGAACTCTAGCTGCGATTATGCAACCTTAATGTAAGCAAACCTGCGCGATCAGTACCGATCTCGTAGAAATAATTTTTCTATCATAAATCGATTATGAATTATTAATTTTTAATCGACAATTAATGGGAGAAAAGGTCATAACAATATACCCTTTTTTAATAATTAAAATAATATTTATGTATTTATTTAAATATTTTTATTATACCCTTAAAAAGAAAATAGGTGGGTGATATTTAAATGTGCAATTGATCAATGGCTATCGAGCTATTGTAGAATGATCATAATACTTGTCAAGGTTCTAATTCCTGGGATATTAAAGGTAGAAAAATGTGGAAAAGTGAATAGAGAATAAAAGGGAAATCGAAAACCAAAATTTCCTGCATGTTTATAATTTATCACAAAAAGACGATACAAATACGGATAAAAGGGTTCGAAGTCAAGTCTTCCCTTTCGTAAAAATGGAGATGAGACCCAACAGCGACCTCGTAAACGGCGTGACAGTCCTCAGTGATTTACCATGCAGCTTCTTGACATCGAAACGTATCGAAATGGAGTTATCGAAGAACTTTTCACACGGTCTGTCTTCTATGTCACCCCGTCCCCGTCCACGATCTCCAGCACTCAATTTATTCGAGTCTGAAACCGTGACGGAAGATTAACGCGATACCATGTTGGGCAGTAACAAAGTAAGTAAATTGCTCTAATTATAAATCGTTTAAACTGCAACAAGAGTTTACGATTTACACTGTAACACAGTCGAGAAAGTCACGACAATCGCAATTATGTATCTAAGTAATATTTCAACTGCTTGCAGTCGCTGAGACAGTTAGAAGAGAAAGCTCATTAAACATAAAGTACTCTCTCCATTTTTTATCGGAATCGTAAACTCGGGAGAAGCAGCTGTCATTAAACGAATTAATATTCGCCACGCAACTGGACCAAAGCAAACCACCGATTGCAGTGCGCAAAAACTAACACAAACGGGAATTTTATTACTCGATGGAGGCCTTGTCTAGCGAGAAACACACGCGAGGCGAGAAATATCGCGAGTGAAAGACACGTGAAACGAAGAAACATGCGAGCATTTTTCGACTGTGGATTTCGAGGAAGCCTCGACCGAGTTGTAGTTACTTGAATCCGATTTTTGGAGGTGTGCCTGCAGCTGCAGCCGCGGGAGGTGGTCGACGTTGGCCAGGAGGTCGACTGACGAAGATTCCATATTTCCTAGGTGGAGGTTCCGGTGGCTGTGGCGGTGGGAAAGACGGCTCGAGAATCTTTAACACGATAGGAGAAGACTATCAATTTCTATCTTGCTACAAAGATAATTGGTACTGCTGCTCGTCTTTGAGAAGAAGGCTAGCGTTCTTCAGACTTGTATCAAGTAATCAACACTGATCCAAAATTTCTCAGTCAGTCACTTTCACCCCTCTCGCTTATGATGCCATACACCCTAACTTTCTCTATCGTAAATAGTCATCTTCGTTCTTCCTCAAGCATTGGCAGGTATTAGCCTAAGCCCATGCATTTATTCTTCTATTACTATGTCCCAAGTACTCTTCTCATTCTCTCAGGGCCGTACCTATTCCATTCCCACGTTAACTTAATTTCTTTTTCTAACGAATATTCTAGTACCTTGTGTCTCTGAATATTTTCGAGAACCCATTCTACCATGATCAATCAGGCCACAGTTTCTACAGCCAGCCTTCTTCTCCTCGACGAAGACCATTACCATTGGCCATAATTACCATTACCGCATCCACGTAACGATCCATCGATACTTCTCCTAATCAGAGGACGCACAATAACCCTAACAATAATACGAGATAATCCAAACGACGTGAGCGTCAACCCCTTCGACCAGGAGACCCGACTACTCCGTTGAATGCGTCTTAACTAACCGAGTCCCATGGTTTTCCCCAATTTCGTTCGCAGACACCGAAATAACTTTACACGTCGCGTCCCGGTGGTCGCGAGTTCTCTAACAGAATTCCCGAACAATCTGTTCGTCTCCGTTTTGCGGCCGCGGCGCCCTGGCCCAGGCTGTTACAGCGACTGGCAACCGGCAGCGGAGAGGTAAACCGCCTCTCCGTCTCGATTTTCGTGACAATTACAGAGCACCGTGACGCAGGGAAAATCCCGTGCGCGGTTTAATTGAAACCCACCTTGAGATTCTCGTGCGAGCCTGTCTGTCCTTCGCTAAGACTAGGCTCCGCGTTCTCGTTTTCTCGGCCAGCGACGTCGCCCGCAGAGCTCTCGCACCATTTCCCGTCGGACTTGTACTGAAAATCAACTACGAATTAACGACGATCCGTGAATTTACGAGGATACCTGGAAAATGGAGGCCACGGTCGAAATAGAACAGTTATTTTCGCTACTTTCTTCACGATTCCCTCCAGCTCTGACAGCTTGTCCGCGGCGTCCGTCACCTCCGTGCTCAGTCGTTGCATCTGAATCACAGTATTTGCTTGATTTCTGGGCTAAGGAACGCGAGGCTAAAGATTTTGGGGATTTTTGACAATTCTTTCCTTTTTTCAAATTGGAGCATGTCAATTTTCAGTAAATCAAATGGACCAAAGTCCTTAGCCACGTTTATTGTCCCATGCGCCTGTCAATTGATCAAGTTACTTCGTCTTCCAGTTCATCGGATGTTACCCTCTGCGTCTCTTTCTGAAATCAATTGGAGATTAGAGGCATTCAGAGGGTTAATCGTACAATGAGCTTGCGAGGCTAACCGTTTTGATCACGACCTCGTCGTACTCTGCTTTCTTATCCTTCAGCGCCATTACGTCCTCCAGTCTCTGTAACAATCGTTTAAACGAGGAATCGATACGATTTTTATTAGAATCCTTCAATCGACGCACCGTTCTGTTCTGCTCCATGATCTTCAGCATCTCCTTGTTCGATTTCTCCATTTTCCTCGCCACCTGCGAGCCAAGGGTTAGACATCTTAACTCCCTTCTATCGAAAATTTCTCTCTTACCGCGTGAAATGAATATGCCTCCATTCGCGTACTCGTAAATATTTCGAAACTTAAATAAATTACTTATGACAAATTCTGGGGTGAAAATTCGATCGCACTCACCGCAGTGGCGTACCACAGGGCAACGTAGAAGAGCACGTGCATGAGTATGCAAACGAACACGTTGTCCAGCACGTACGCCCGAATGAACGACTACGGGGAAGCAAGAAATTGGAATCAGTGGAAATCACGCGATGTCTCGTGATTTTCGCGGTCTTTACCTGCCGGTCGTACACGTCAACGAGCTTTAGAATCGGGTAAGTCCTCGCCATGCGGGAGAAGTAACTTTGCCTTCGCGAGAACATCTCCGCGGGTGCAATCCATTAGTCGGTTGTCCAAGGCTTTCGCGAACTGTTTGCCGGGGATGAAGACGAATCGCCGATGGGAAAAATAAATACTCCACGCGAGATACGTCTCTCGGATGAAGGAGAGACTGAAATCTGTCAGACGTGGAATTCGCTGAATCGGGTAACGATTTAATAATCGACTGTCGAGGAATCGAGTGTCCGATTGCTGTCGTTTCACGTACTCGTGGTACAACTTCAAGATTAAAGGCTGTAATAGCGAAAGAATTCATCTTTCTTGCTTCCTTTGAAATAAGGTCAACGACGTTTAATGACAGATTACTTGAAATCGAGGAATTAATTAGTCAAAGAAATTAACTTGCGCTCTGTCATAGTAAAAGTCATAGTAAAAGTAAGATAATTTCAGTTATAATTACAGTAAAAGTTAAGAAACGGAAGAAATATATTCTATTGTACTTTCATTTTCCTTTTTGCAAGTAGAAAATAATGATTAATAACAGGTTAGTTTAGGTTAAAGAATTTTAGTCACTATCAGTAGCCCTGCGATTGCCAGAGGAGTAAGTATGCTCTCTGTCCTACATCCATAGTAAACGTAAGATAATTTCAGTTATAATTACAGCTCTGAGAGAAATATATTCTATTGTATTCCCAATTTAAAAAATATTTTTTCTCTCTTATCAAAGTGAGGAATAACGTTTAATGACAGCCCAGTTTAGGTCAAGGAATTTCAGTCACTATCAGTAGCCCTGCGATCGTCAGACATAAGTGCAGCTCTATTTAAAGACTATGGTTACCTGATTTAGCCGTTAGCATGACGAATGGCGTACAAAGTGTTACAATATTAATACCATCAATTACCACGAGCTGTGTATGTTATTTCCAAACGAGGCATTCCATTATAAAGCTTATTCGAGAGCATAAAGTAACGCGTCCAACGTGTGGCGTGACTCACCGGTTCACGCTATCGCATAATGTAAAGCTGTTATGGACTACCACTGAGTCACGCTATTTTTTCTACAATTTTTATACCGGCATCAAGATTCGAATTCAATTAATTCTAGCTGCACAGAACGGCATCGATCGCGCGGTATAATCGCCATCGAAACCAACGACGTAACATCAAACACGAAAAGAAAATTCAGTCAGAAGCATCGCCGAATTATTAAACGATCAAACCCCCGTTTTATACGCAATTTATACCCAATCGACGTCGCGGTGTTCTAAATTTCAATTAAAATCGCATTTTACGGAAAATTTGGGGAAAAACCTGGATACACCGAACAGGGGGGGACGTGATTAATTAACAGGGAACATAATTTACCACAGCATCGGCAGAGAAATCACGATCCAGCGATAATCGCGCGTTATTAAACCCTGTACACGGCGATGACTTAATTTCGCGATCACAGCGTTATCGCTCGCTCGATTCGCGACACAACGACGCACCAGCGGCGCTGATAATGTCGATAATAAGCCGCGGCGACAACAGGTCTGGATGGAAATTCACGAGGGAAAAGGAGAAGAAAGAGGATGAAACGAAATGGGAGAAAACGAAGACGCAGGAATTTTTGCGAACCACCGATCAGGTTCCCTGCAGTGAATCATTGTCGTTCGTTAAGCGACTCGACTCGAGATGAGTCGCGACCGATTTTATCGCGGCCAGCTCGCGAAGTAATTCGTCGGTGATTTACGGGGATGTTAATTGGTCCATGACGTCCAATTTCGATCTCGAAACCGCGGCCTCGAAATTAACGCGGGGTCCTGGGTTAACGGCCACCGTGGTCCACGCGCGATTTTCGCGATTACCCTGTCTCACCGAAGGATCTCCGTAATATAGCTGTTTCAACTCTTTGCAGCACAGCATCTCAGAGGAATAGAAATTTTATTGCGTTTTAAATGAAACAAAACTGGTGTAGACCTAATTTTTATAAAAATTAACTTACTTTTACGATTTTTCGCATAAAATCAGGAAAAAAGCTTACAACAATCGATGAACCTGTACTAGCATGTTGAATGTTGCCAACACAAAGAGATACATTTGTAACATTTGTCAAAGGTATTACCAACTCCTTTAATTGTAGACCTAATTTTTATAAAAATTAACTTACTTTTACGATTTTTCGCATAAAATCAGGAAAAAGCTTACAACAATCGATGAACCTGTACTGGCATGTTGAATGTTGCCAACACAAGTAGATACATTTATAACATTTGTCAAAGGTATTACCAACTCCTTTACGTAAATAAGACGAAATATAAACCCATGTGGCACTAAAAATGTCCCACCTTGCATTACGGTGCATCAAAAAGGTGGGACACTTTCAATTCCAGCGTGCCCCAAAGATTTAAAGCAACGAGAATGAGAATTTATTTGCACGACTGGCGCATAACTTGTACATTATCTCGCGGTGAAAGAACAATGGAAATGTTCGGGAAGAACATTTCGCGCGCGTGTAATACCGATAATGAAGCGTCCACGAGTAGCGAGGGAAAATCGGCAAGGAAAATCGGACACGTTCATCGATTTACAATGCGCGAGCCCGCGATTTAATTGGCTTAATGTTTGGTTAATGCGAGAAGGCCGGTTGTAACGCACAGCGGCAGGTTGATGGAACGAGCTCGATCGGGATGGTGGCGAAAAATAATTATAATCGCGCGTGTGAAGGAATAATCAGCGAGATCGGGGTAACGGGTCGAAACGGATGGAACGACGCGTGGTTTCGGGGCGAATTTAGTTTTATTTCCGAAATGAAGGGGCACCGGTGTCCTACGGCTGGGTGCTTAATCGGGCAGCGAAATTCAAACGCGACGCAGTAATTTGCCATCCGTCAATCGGATTAAAAAGGCCGCGTGCGCGGAATTAACGCGCGCAATTAAGTCTCACAATCGGCTCGATCAAGACCCGAACGCTCTCGCATTTTCGACGAAACCGGCCAAACAAAACCGTAATTTACCGGGGAATGCGACACGGTGGACGCGTGTCGTGAAAAATTCAGCAAGCCGCGACAATTCGCTCGCGCGATCCGTCCAGCCACGTCGCGCAAACAAGGATCGATCATCGACGCCGCGTCGATCCTCGTCGACTAATCCGCGACCATCGCCAGGGGAACGAAAACAACGTGAAAAATAGCGGCAGGGTAAATAAAATAAGTGAAGCTGGAAGAAAAGATGGAGGAAAATCATTGGTACCCTGGAACCGGCAAAAAATTGTCTCATTTTGACATAGACTGTACTGTTCAAATATTTCGCGATATCGTTGAATAAGGAAAATTTTTGGATTTTTAAAAGACAAGTACGTATTTGAATAAAACAGGGAGAAATATTATTAAAGAATCTTTACCTTTTTGCTTTTTATTATTATTAACCCCTTCGTCTACAGTATCGTGTAACTCGTGACAAGGAATTCATGCCAAACACTAGTATCACGAGTGAGAACCCTGGTTTCATCGATGTCTTCCTGCCTCAGTTACTATCCTTGATCACATTCGCACGTTTAAATATATTTCCTTAAAAATTCTAAAAAACTACTCTGCAAAAATGTCTTCCAAATAGAAATTTAGCATTGAAGATTGGCACAATTTTGCGAAATGGCTCAACGTGTAACCGACTCCGTTGATTATGTCACACGTCATCGGAACTTAAATCATACAGCAACAGATAAAATACAAGAAGCTAAGGAAAGCACTTATAAAAATCATAAACGCCATCAACAACTATTGCACGTGTGACCAAACAATCTGAAACCAATTCACGGGTGTCTGAGGTGCAGCAAAACCACCGCGATACCCATTAGAAAATATGGAAATGGATCCAAATTTTTTCAAAACAATTAAATGATTCTACAAAGACTAACGAAGATAAAATAATCGAAAAATCAAAGACACCGAAAAGCAGAGGATTAAAAAAGATCCTCGACGAGTTCCGCGGAGCAACCCTCGACCAGAGCTTCGTACGAACGCGTTTGTCCAAACAATCTAGTCCACCCACGTTAAAGCATATTAGAAATTAATCCCCGGGCGATCGGCCGCCCTTGCGCCGGGCCGATCGGCGTCAGCATTCGATTAAATAAACAGGAATTAGCACATGAAAGGCGGCGGTGGCATGACAATCGTGAGTCGGGCAGAGGGAGGACGCCACTTGTCGTTTCCCATCGCGCCTCGCGGCCCGGGGTTGACTAACTAAATACGAAGTTGGCTCCGAAATGGGGCCCGGGGCCAGGGTTAAACCAAGCTTAAAAAGGCTCCGTTCGCCGCGCAAACACGCCGCGAGTCAACTGCGAAAACACTTGAGATCACTTAGAGGAATCACCGCTCACCCTTCCGTCGCGATTTCCGCCCCTGCCGCTGACGAGTCGGTGTTTATGTAAAACAGTAGCCGATATGGATCGACGAGTTTCCGTCTGGTCCGTTCGTTTGGGTTAGGCGAACCTCCGTTTGGCTAGACCTCGCGGCTGCGTCCACTTGACGCGTCAAAAACGTCAGTTACACCGATACCACGGGGGTGGATGCGCGATGGGGTGGCTTTTGTCGAGCTGGAGCAACGCGCGCGCGTGTAGACTCGTTTGCCAGTAGGAATTCGTGTTTCTTAAGGGGCGGTGATGTTATTTCGAAGAGGGTGGCGGACGGGGATGAACGGCTCGAATTGGGGGGTTGGAATTGGGTTCCCATCGACGTCCACGTGATTCTATTTAACGATACGTAATTAATATCGATAGATATCGAGTATTTCTATGTTTCCGAAGATTCCTCCGTATTTTTGTACCTTCTGGAGCTGCGACTCGCAAATAAAAGAATAAATAAATAAGTAAAGGAATATTTCCGAGAATTTTCGCAGATCAGCGCGATACAGTTTTAATTCCACGGAAATAAATTTTGCCAGGCAGACGATGACTACTCTCGGACCTTGTTCCCGAAGAAAAGTCCTAACGGTGCAGTAGCTTAAATCTCGGAAACTCTGGCAAAGAGCCGTTCCACGGCATTGGGTTCCTTTGCCGCAGCAGG